AAAATAGCATATATTGATAATCTTTCATTGGATGTGTCCTCTTTGTGGGCGAGTCACAACGCTGCTACTTTCATCTTCTCTCTTCTTGAGCGGTTTTTTGGGAATCGCTGTTTGAGCCCATTTGCGTGCCAACACTAGTATCAGTGTATTCTTCACCTTCATCCAGCCCAATGTGGGTGAATATTCAGAGTGACAGAACATTGTGTTCTGTAAGGTTACGGTGACGGGCAAATTACAGTGACTAGGGGCGAGGAATAACCTGTTCACCCTACCGGTGCGAGCTCCTATTCTATCGCAGGATAAGTCGATCCCAAAACTTTATCTTCAAAATTACTTGTGACGCATGAGCCAGAACATCCGTCTTCCGCATCACTTCATTAACCGATAAACCACCGTATTGAGTCGTCTATAACACAACAGTGGTTTCTGCTGATTTGCTATCACAAGATTACGGCTAACTTTATCAGATCAGCAGACGCTGTTTATGTAACTCTGTGAGTGCATCAAGAAATTCTTCTGGTAGCTTGTTCATAATCATTTGTCTTTCTCAGCTGGTGATTTCAGGGATTTTAGTGCACAAACGTTATATGAACGTTGAAAGCTTGTCGACGCTGGCCGATCGACTCTGTGATAGGCAAGTGCTGCAAGTCAGTCGCACACAGTGCTTATCGAAAAGTACCAAACATAATCTACGACCGCTTACGAATCGCTAATATCGAAACGATGAAAAACATTAAACGAAACAACGCAACGCACAAAACATATACATTAGCCGTTAGACATATCTTCAGCTGGGCAGCATCCATCTTTGCTGGGCAAGCGTCTCTGCGGGTAATTCCAAGGCCTCGTCGTCGGCCGTTGCAAAATTGTTTTCATAGCGTCGAAGGACAGGTTGCTTCAGCAGTCGCCACAGAAACTTTTTCGTCATTTGCCTGTTGTTGTAGTTAGCCGTCGCGTGAACCGGAGTTTCACGATTTCTAAAATATGATATTAATACCGAAGCTGTAGTGACTGTCGTCTTCGATGACGTCACAAATGGAACCAAACGAAGCTTGGAGACGTTCTGAGCG